TACTTCATGGTTTCCCATAAACTTTGGAATAAACGACAAACTCTCCAGCCTTTCTTGATTTGGCTTCTGCCCACCTTTCTGGCCAAGACTCCTGATACTTCCTCAAGCCACACTTCCTCCGTCTAAGCCACAATACAGCTCCCTCAGCATGCCAAGGGCACCCCCCGCCCCCCACCCCAGGCCCTTGTGCCTTTGCACATGCTGTTTTCCTTACCTGTAGCACTGGCCTCCTGCTTACATACCGGGGCCTGACCTCGCAGCACCTCCTCCAGGAAGCTTCCCTGATCAGCTTGAATGACAGTATCACTTCTGCATTCTCATTACTCTCTAGTCACCTAAAAACAAAACACCTACTGTATTTCAGGGTAGTTTTTAAAATTTTATATGTTTATATACTTTTTATATTTTACATATACTTATAAAGGCCCCTGACACCCCTCCTCAATGTCTCCACCCCCTTTGAAGAGATACCTACCGTCAATCACTTCTCTGTCTCCACCACAGACTAAATTCTTGGGAAAAGACCAAGGGATTCTCCTCTGCATCCCCAGCCCCAAGCACAAGGCCAGGTATATAATTATTAATTAGTAGGTCACTTCCAACAGCATTGCCAGGGATTTGGAATTGGCTCTGAAGTCTGGAAGTAAAAGTGAACCAAGACATATATGGGTTTTGCTTTCCTTTACTACAAAGAAACCCTGTTTACCAGCAGAGAAGATAATTTGTTGCTGGAAGTAAAAAGTCAAGCAGGTATCTCGCATCATGCTTGAAGAAGAGATGCACCCTAGACTTTGTTTCAGGGTCTGCTTTGGGAGAACTCAAACTGAGACAATATTTTGAATAATCAGTGATTGGAAGAGTAGGAGGATGAGGCTGCTCAGAGCATATCAAATAAGGGGTGGCAGAGAAGTCCAAGATGGAAAGAGGGCTCTGAGGAAGGGCGTGGTCCCTTGAGTTTGCAGGACCAGGAGGTGGATTCAGCTTGTTGCTTGTGGCCTACGATGAAGTAGTGAAAGCTGCAGGGCCACAGGTTTTCACTCAGTTTAAGGAGGAAGGTGTCAGTCACAGCCAGCAGCAGGAGGCTCAGTGACAGTGACTCAGCCCTGCTGCACAGAGCATCCCGGGGGGGGGGGGGGGGGGCTCCTATCACTCTGGTGCCCAGTCTGCGCTGCGGACCAATTTTAAGTGAGAAGCTCTGTAGTAGGATTCACACATTGGAATTTTGCAGTGCCCCCCAAGGTGATTCCAATGTGCGGCCACGACTGCGAGCTTGCACACAAATCATCAGGTCATCTTGTTAAAATGCCCACTCTGATTTGGTCCATCGGGGTGGGGCCTGAGAGCATGCATCGCTAACAAGCTGCAGGAGCTGGCTTTATAGCTAGTAACCAGCGTGTCACAGGTGTAGGAAATAGGCCTCTGTGATACTTCTTCAAAATAGCCACCTTTTAATGGAAGTGGTTACTGAATCTCCCCTGGGCAAACAATGTAGGGAGGAGGGAAGAGGATATAAAACAAAAAAGTGTGTAAGTGAGCTAGCATCATGATGGAAACCCCCGAAGCACCCAGGATGAAACACCTCGTGCCAGCCTCAACTAGACAGGGGGAGGCGGAGACAACTAGAAAAGGCCTTAGCCCATTTGTTTTAAATGGCCCAATAGGAGACAATAAGATCTAGGTGACATATGAGGAAACTATTCACCCCATAGTACTCAGCCAGTGAGGAACTGAAGGAGGGAATCTTGCACCCTAGGGGATAAATAGCCTGTGATTGCTAGTCTGTGTGTGTCTGTACAACCGGACACCCGCTCTTGCAAGAACATATTAAAAGTCTCATTTTGCCATACTTCTGTCTCCGAGTCTGTTATTTGAATTCAGACAGGTGAGCATTTCTCACAACAGGGAGTGTTCAAGAAAAGATAGAAAATTATGACATACTAGAGCAGTGATGGCAAACCTTTTGAGCTCGGCATGTCAGCATTTTGAAAAACCCTAACTTAACTCTGGTGCCATGTCACATATAGAAATTTTTTGATCTTTGCAACCATAGTAAAACAAAGATTTATATTTTTGATATTTATTTTATATATTTAAATGCCATTTAACAAAGAAAAATCAACCAAGAAAATGAGTTCGCGTGTCACCTCTGACATGTGTGTCATAGGTTTGCCATCACTGTACTAGAGGCTCTGTGCACAAATGCGTGCACTAGTGGGGCCCAGCCAGCTCACCCAGATGGGGGCCATCAGGGGTGGGCCAGCTAGGGCAAGGAGCCGCAGGCATTCTGGTTGTTCCGCCATTCAGTTGATTTGCATATTATCCTTTTATTATATAGGGTGGATATTGCAGAGAGGGCTTATGCATTGAATGGGGACTAGAATTACATCAATGACCTTCAACCTCTCTGTAACAGCTTAAATCTTCCAGCATGACCCCCAAACAAAATTATCCACAGAAAGCCAGTATATAAACCCAGCAAAGCAGAGCTGTCTCATAGAATGAAGGTAGGGAACCCAGATCCCTGCCCTCTTGGCCTCCCCACCCCATGGCACTTAAAGTCTCCATGAAGTTCATTAGAAGACATGCTAGGTACTATTGAATAAACATATCTCTCTTCATGTCAAATGCAGAGGATTATTTCAGAAACTGGAACTGCTGCTTGGACAATGAGGTGATTCTAGCCTTGTGAGCCCTAAGTGAACCTGGATTAGTGAGCATGAAGGTATTAAGGCATTGAGGACAGGAGACTCCGCAGGACTTGGGGCTGTATTCAGCAAGTTTATCCTGCAAAATGAGTCAAGCCCCACTTGCTGCTTAGGGGAGTAAGCTGGAGGGAACAAAGACACACAGCTGTTGCATGCACATTCCTTCTGAAAGTCCTGATAAGTCCATTGGCAGGACTTAATGATCAAAATCAATGCACGTCTCATCAAGTGGGAACCTAGCGGTCCCTTCTGTCACTATCTCTTGCATTCACTCCTGATGCTCCCTCTGGCTCACTTCTGGCGCATCCCTGACTCCTCATCCCTTCCTCCAAGACACATATCAATCCTGAGAACTGATAAAATTCTGCCTGGCAGGAACCTAGGGAATATCAGATTCAAGAGCCAAAAATGCATGGAGCTGCACAAAATAAGATTACACTGGGTTCACTGAGCAGCTCTCCAAAATAATAATTTCAGCAAGAAATGAAAGAACAGAGTTACTTCTAATTAGCTACAAGGGTATGGTAAAATTTCTCCAAACAGGTATCAAGGGGGAATAAATGTATTCATTTTCATATTTTTTAATTATGGAATATCATTCATTTGGCCTACAATCGGTTAGAATTTCTATGACTTAGACATTTTTTGGATAGAGTATTTTCTTTGTAAAAGAAGTTTATCTGAGCATGGTTTAGGAGGCTCCCGAAGGAATGACAATACAGGGGCACTCTGAACGCCTGGTGAGACCGCACAGAATGGATGTGCTTAGCTCCTGCTTTGCTGAATCTGTGGTTTGTTACTTAAAAACTCCTAAAGTGTCTTCAAGTTGCAAATCTTAAGGTTCAGAGGACTGGCTTTGAATATTAAACTGTGGCACTTTGCAGAGAAGTGGTTGAAAACAAACGGAGTGTCGGTAAAGGAGAAATTGAGTGAATACCTGAGTTTTCCTTATTGGAAAAATTTCACTGTAGAGAATAAACATAAACAGAATGGAAGAAAATATCCTTGGGTTAATTTTTTTCAGTAACAAGAAACTGGTTCTGGTGTCTGCATTCTAATCCCAGCTCCTCTTTTTACCAGCTATGAACTTACACAGTTTAATTAAATTCTAAACGTTGCTTTCCTCCTCTACAAAATGGGATCATGATGGTACCCACCCAACCATTTGTTCTCTGGATTAAATTAGATAAGGCTAGCAAAGTGCTTGACATTGTGCTGGTCACTCAGTGAGGTCAAACTCCGGTTTCTGTGAATGCTGTGAATACTGTCATTGACATTATTAGCACAGAGTAACACCCCCGCCCCCCAAAGTATTAGCAATTACTGTTACTGCTATTAGGAATTCTGAGCCTCTTCATCAAACTCACATCAGGGGAAAGAGCTAAAACTAGCCAGACATGCCAACAACCCCCTGAGGAAACTACCCTTTCTCAAATTAAAAAAAAAACTTATTTGAATATCCTCCTTAGAAGGAGTCTTGTCTGAAACAGAACAGGATAAATTATGCTCTTGTAGCAAACCCCCAAAATCTCAGTGATTTAACACAGCAAAGGGTTATTTCTTACTCATGACTAGTCAAACTCAAGTAAGTTGTTATCTAAACTCCAAGGGATGACTCAGAGACCTGGCAGCTTCCATCTGAAAATATATTTTTAAGAACCAGACTTAGAAGTAGCTTACGCTTTGTGGCTTCTTCCTACCAACCCTAGACTAGGATAAGTCTTCTCTTTCTCCTCCAAGCTAATTTATTCTTATATCTGTGACTCCATTTGTCATATGGAATGAATTAGGGTTCATACAATTATGGTGGTTCTCATCTGAGGGTGCTGGTCTGCATCCCTGCACCAAAATCGAGCCTAAGTGTAATCTGAAAAGTATGAACAGAATGGGACAATCACCTTCTTCTTTCTAGAGCATATACTTATATTAATGATGCCTGGGGTTGCATACTTTTTTCTGGGGGAGAATGTCAGCAATATTGAACTTAATATTAACTAAAATTGCCATGGGTATACAACGGATTCAGTTCCCTTTAATCAATGTTTCTTCTTTTTTCAATCTGAACAGGACTCTTCATTATGGAAAAAGTCCACTAGAAAGACAAAGTTGAAGAGATACACTTTCCCTCAATTATCCATTAATATATCACCTACTCACCCAATGTGGGTGGCAAGCCTCCTTGGGGTGTGTCTGATCATCCAACTTATGAATGGCGAATGCTGAGAAAGGCGGCTGTCGAGCCTTGACCACCCTTGTTGTTTCTTAGAATGACCCCTCCCATCTGCCCTGTTGCAGGTACCACATTTGCGTGCCTGTGCTGATCTACTTCCTCCCCCTGCTGGTGATCGGCTATGCGTACACCATAGTGGGAATCACGCTGTGGGCCAGCGAGATCCCCAGGGACTCCTCTGACCGTTATCACGAGCAAGTCTCTGCTAAACGCAAGGTGAGCAAGGGGCAGCAAGCACCTAACCCACGTGGGCACAGGCAACAGGCTCACACGCAAAACATCCTTGAATCTAGGGAACAGCAACGGAGGGAGAGGGAAGGCATCCGTCTTCAATGTGTTGGGAACTTAGGTCTGCCTGTACAGGCCTGACCTTGCTTGTGCCTTAGGAGAATTGCAACCTGTCAAGCCATTCGTTATTCAGTCCTCTTTTTATTACTTATTTAAAGTTTGGCACAATAATACATTCTCTTGGTGCAAACATCAAAAAGTATTAAAAGGAACAACATTATGGTGGTAGAGAGCAGATCAGGGGTTAGGAGGGTGCGTATGGGGGAGGGGCTGCCTATGAAGGCACAGCATGAGCTTCTTGTGGTGATGGAGCGACAGAGCAATCCTGATGGTGGCTGAGTTTTCAACTCATCTGTACATGTGATAAAATTTCATAGAACTATACACCCCCAAAAGGAGCGTGTGTAAAAACAGGCAAAATCCAAACACTGTCTGTAGTTTAGTTTCTAGCCTGGCATTAACGCCGGTGTCCTGGTTTTGATCATATGGTAAGTTAGGTAGGATGATGTCACAGGAGGAACCTGGGAATCCTTGTACTGTTTTCGCACTTCTTGGGAGTCTTAAATTATTTCAAAATGAAAAGTAAAAAAATACATTAAGACTTTTACCATGAAAGGACCCCACCCAGTTCCCATGTGTATGCACACACTCACTGTGGTAGCCATTGGTATTTATTTCTTACTAATCCTTCCAGATATTATAATGCATGTATAAGCCAAATAAATGTAAACTTTTTTCTTTCTTCTTTTTTACACAAAGAGTAAATACACACTTTCTGCCCTTCACTTTTTTTTTTTACTTAATATCCAAAATCAATATATAAAGAGCTTTCTCATTTTTTTTTCTTTTGGTACATCTTTGCATAGCATTTCATTATGTGGAGGCTAGGTAGTTTTCACCGAGTTTGTGGGGAAAGAGGGAAAGGTTACATCACCCAGTGTTCATAAAACCTTGTAAGTTCTCTTTAAACATCAGATGCTCTCTGGGGCAGCTGTCCAAATCCTGTCCCTTATCCTTCCTCCCCCTGAGACTCCAAGCAAGAAGCTTCCCCTTCTCACTGCTCCCCACTTTAGCTGCTTCCCGCTTCCTGGGTCTTTCCCTCTTGAACACCCGTTCCTCTTGGCTCATTAATCTGGTCTCCTTTGGCTTCTCCAGCCATTGGCCAGAGAATGATATAACACGGTGATTCTGGACCATGAGCGAGCCTCAGAATCATTGGAAGCTAGGACTTGTCAATCACAGAACTCTGGGTCCCACCCCAAGAATTGGTAAAGTCTGGGTGGGGTCCAAGAATTTGCATTTCTGACAAGGTCTCAAGTGATGGTGCTGGCACTGGTCTTGGGGTCACACTCTGAGAACCACTGATATAACCCAAATCCTTTGGTGCCACATAGAAAAGGTCCTTCTTCCTCCTCAAAAAGGGTTTATTCTAAATACTTCTCCCCCCAGACTGCACTGTGAGCCATGCGAGGGGGAGGAGGAGAGAGAAGGTAGCCATGAGAAAAGGATTATGAGCTGCTGGTCTCACCTGCCTTGCCCTCCTGACAGGTGGTCAAGATGATGATCGTTGTGGTGTGCACTTTCGCGGTCTGCTGGCTGCCCTTCCACATCTTCTTCCTCCTGCCCTACATCAACCCAGATATCTACCTGGAGAAGTTTATTCAGCAGTTCTACCTGGCTATCATGTGGTTGGCCATGAGCTCCACCATGTATAACCCTATCATCTACTGCTGCCTCAATGACAGGTGAGGACCCCATCCCCCAGGCTCTTTCCAGGGGCCACAAAACCATCTGTCTATATAACCACCAAACAACCAACCTACTAGTCAATGAGCAAACCTGGCTGTGAGACAAGAGAGAGTGGTGGGGACTACAGCAAACTAATCGCCACAGTTACTCAAGCCCTGCTGATTATCACCACTGCAAGAATATAAGACCAGAGTGCACATATTTTTCTTTCCCAAGAGGAACCAGAAATCCATATTGTTGTGTAGTATCTTTTTACTTTTAAACACTGGCATCTAAGCCAATGGGGGATGGGGTTTGCAGGTAAGAAAAAAAAACCCTCTGAGGTTGCTGTGTACAAAGCAGGTCCACAAGTTGAATCCAGTTTGTGGCCTATGAGTTTGCTCACACTGCCAACTGGATTCATTACGCAGGTGGGGCTGTGAATGGAGACAGAGAGACAGAGTCAGGGACTCAGATCGTATGAGGCAAACTACAGGAACTTGACTGGCAGAAAGTCATCTTTCAGACGATGAACTACCTGAAGGAAAGGACTGGCTCTTGTTTTTACTGCACAGTGACTAGCACAGTATCGTTCTCATAGTAAACCCTGGTGAATGTTTTACTGTGATGTTGAGTTGACCAAAGTTGGCTGCCCCGCGCCAGTGGAGGCAGCATAGTTCAGTGGCTGTCCTCAGAAAAGACATATTTCACCTGAACCTGGGTTCTAGTACTGGGTTTGACTTTAATGACCAACCTTTATATCTTCTGGGCCTTACTGTCTCCAGTTCTCAATTAATTTAAAAAATAATAACACAGGATCAAGTCTGGGTGCATTCATGTGTTAAAGAGCTGACGCAAAGGTGGGAAGGCCCTCTGAAAGCAGGCTGTCCCCCAGCGTCACCTCTCCACCTCTCTCCCTCCAGGTTCCGGCTGGGCTTCAAGCATGCCTTCCGGTGCTGCCCTTTCATCAGTGCGGGCGACTATGAGGGGCTGGAGATGAAATCCACCCGGTATCTCCAGGCCCAGGGCAGTGTGTATAAAGTCAGCCGCCTGGAAACTACCGTCTCCACAGTGGTGGGGAACCATGAGGAAGAACTGGAGGAGGGCCCCAAGGGCACGCCCTCACCCCTGGACCTGGCCTCCAATGGCTCCTCTCGCAGTGAGTCCAAGACCATGACGGAGAGCTTCAGCTTCTACTCCAACACGCTCTCCTAGACCCTGGGCCTGCAGCAGAGGCAGCCACCATCGTCTTTGTCTTGCTTCACTTCATGCATGGATAATTCCTCGATCTGGAAACCATCAGGAACACCCTCACACTGGGACTTGTGAAAAGGGTCAGAATGGTTTAGGAAAAACATTCCATACTGGAGTCCAAAAACCTGGATTCTTCCATGTCGTTGCCAACCCCATGCTGTGTGACCCAAGACAAATCACCGAACTTCTCTGAGCCTGTAAAATGGGAAGGTTAGACTTGCTGTTCTCTACAATCCATTCCGTGGTTCTAGAATACAGTTTGGCTGTGAATGAGCACTCATTTCAAGATGAATCCTGCAATGGAGCAACAGACCCAACGGATCTGTTTGCCTGGAGCCTCTGTCTTACTTCAATAAAGCCTTTCTCAATCATGCTCAGATTAACCCTCCTTTCGCTAGTGGATGTCTTCATTTGATAGAGTGAACAACTGAAGGGCCCACAGAAAATCTGAAAGAGAGATTTAACCCCATCCTCCGAGCATCCGTGAAAAGAAGACAAAGTCTGCCCCTTTTTTGGCATCTCAATATTTTAGGGCATTTAAACATCATAGGATTGAGAGCCTCAGATTCATCTGCATTGTGTCCCCAATAATTTCCCTGAGCAACTAACTGATGCAGGCAGAATGTGTCCACTGATACCAGCTGATGTATGTCAGGACCAAGATCAGGAGAGCTGTGCCATATTTCATCTGTCTGAGCCTCTCTTTCCTTATTTGTAAAACGATGGGAGTGAACTAGATCATCTAAGTGTCCCTTCAAATTTTCAATGGTTTAATGATTGTATGAGGGGTTTTTTGTTTGTTTGTTTCACACACAAAAATGGTGGTCTCAGAAAGAACAGGAGAAGAGAGTGAAGTGACTAAATACTCCTGAAAAGTAGCAACTGCTGCGACCATGTGTCCACACCCATATCAGACATTCTCTGATTGATCCTAAAATGTGAGTACCTTTTTCTCCTGGGAGGTTGTAGCTTTTAACACAGCTGAGGACTTGGTGTCGAAGCCTGCATCTCTCCACCAGGTTTTAGCAGACTGAGCCTGCAGCTGGAGAGAACATCCGGGAAATGAATTCATGGGCTCCCTGCTCTGGCCTTTTGGTTGTCTTAGGACAAAGGCACTAGCTGTGCACTAACATCCCACATGTGCTCAGCTGCCCAATGAGCAAAGGGGCTGCAGCAGCACCTCTGGGAAGAGGACACCTTGCATTTTCCCTTTAGACTCTCTGAATCTCCCCGTCTTGCCTCCATGGCTTTGCTGGCCTCCTGTCTGTAAGAAGTGGGACAACACATTGACCCTATAGGACAGTTCATCTACCAAGAGCCATGAACTTAAGGCTTCATGTCCCAGTACAGCTTTGAGATTTCCATCAAGTGAGCATGAAGCGCCTTCCTGTCTTCCAAATTCGTGCTTTGTCCCATTGTGGCTGAAAGCAGGAGCCTCATATAACATCTGTGAATGTCCTCCTTATTGTTTGAAGAATGGAGGCACATGTGCAGCATCTGTGGTATCAATAGAATATAAGCACTGCCCACAGGGTTTACAGCCTCACCAGCCTTGCTGGCTCTAACTCTACTAGGCCATGGTAGGCCTGGGGGGAGAGAGCAACAGTATAAGCCAGAAGGACCCAAGAACTATACTCTTCAAAGCCTCATGGGACGGATCAAATAAATTGAGTAAAGCCAGCTCAGTGCAGATAGATGAACGGAAGACATAATTTAGAGGCTACGAAAGTCAGTGCCAAAAGCATTAGTCAGACTTCCAATAAGCAATTGTGCCGTGTGTGGATAATTCTCTTCCGAGGGCCATAGAGAACCAGCATGATTATGAGAAGAACTTAAAAAGAAAGTGTCAAGGATTTGGAGGAGGTTGGAATTGAATTCAATAAGAATTATTGAGTACCTGCTGTGGATTTGGCCCTGAGCTGAGGACACACAGCTCCTTCCACTCTTGAGAGCCATGGCTAACGCACCAATCCTAGGGGGTCGAGGCCACCCAGCAGGCGTGGAGGCAGTTGTGAAGCCAATTCTGCCCAGGATTCTAGAGACTTAATACATGTAATTGAGCCAAGGACTGAGACCTTCAGAGAGCCTTTTGCAGTGAGAGTTCTCTGAGATCACTTTAAGGAAAGCCACCATGGTTGGACAGCATCGTCACTGCACATAGAGGGAGGGTGCGATGGTGCTGAGCAGTTTCAAATATGGCAAAACATCCCCTCTGAACCAGCCCAGCAGGCCTTCCTCCGACCCACTCTCCAACACCTATGTAACTTATAAAAAATGTCATCAGCTCCCACATGTGAGAAACACCATGATTTGCACTGTGCATGGGCTCATTTTTATAGAAATGTGTCCCCCTATGTTTATCTTCTAAGTATTTCTCTGTGGTGTACTGTTCAGTAGTAATAGAATATAAGACATCATGGGGCCAGTCTTTGTTATGTTACTTCAAAAATATGGGATTCAGTTGCTGTCAATGTGTTCTTTGCATTGTGCCAACCTCTCCTCATTCTTTCACAGAGAGGAGCTGATGTACACCGTGAACTCACAGTCAAATTATAGTGACTGGGGGTGGGTGGGGGGGAGGGAGAGCAGAGGCCTCTATGGGAGGAACTAACGGGCAGGAGTCCTTGTCCTCTCTCCCCACACACACCATCATGCTGAGACATGCTGGAAGGTCCTTTCTCTTGGAAGGACTGGGGGATTTCTAGGAAAAGGGGACTTGGGAGCTGACTCTCTGGTTTGGCTTTCGGGGAGAATCCTGTATGTAGGACGGGGTCATTCCTGAAGTTCCCATTTTCCAGCCTGGGATCCTGGAAAGAATTTCCATGCAGAAATAAAGTATGTGTTCGACTATCTCACGCCTCTGTCTCATCTCCAGGGATCCTCAGTGCTCTACAGGAGACTGAATGGGGTGGTACTCTGAACCCCAATAACTTGCATAGTCAGAAGGAAGAAACCCAACACCCAGTGATCTCTTAACCATGCAGCAAAATGAGTTGACAAAAATGTGGGAACTCTTACCAAGTGGGGATCTGGGAAGATAAGGTGGGATGGTCTGAAGTGACAATGACATCACCTGTGAGAAGAGCTGTGTCAGTGCAGTTCCTCCCAGAAGCAGACCCAAGGCAGAGACAGGAGTGAAGGAGGCTAATGAGTAGAACTACCTGGGAAAGGTAAAACGGGGAGGAAGCTGGAGTAGGCAGGGGAAGCTTGAGAGTACTGTGCAGATCTAACACCTGTGGGAAAGGGGGAGGGGAGGAGCGGGCAGGAAGAGCCTCAGATGCAGGACAGCTCTAAGAAAGTCTCAGCATGCCAAGGGGTGCCCATCGAGAAGGCCTGCATTGGCAAAAATGGCCAGGCCTGGTACTTCCCCTTGCTCGGTCACTGCTGGACGATCTCTGGGGAGGGAGGGGTCTGTGTTTGAACACTGTGGTAGGTTCTGAAGGTGCAGCAGCTGGCAGCCATCAGCTGGCTGCACTCTCACTACCAGTTCTCTCCTGAAAGGAGAT